CCCCCCCCCCCGTGAGCTGGGTACTCATTTTACCGACCTGACCTTGGAAGGATAGAAGGCTGAGTCAACTTTGAGCCAGCTACCTGGGATTGAACCCCAGGGGTTGTGAGCAGTTTTGGCTGCAGTACAGCAGTTTAACAACTGCGTCACAAGATAAGTGATATACCACCGAGAGCAATAGATCACTTAGGGTTTTTTTAAAAAAAAGAAAATTTAGGGCAGCAAGGAGCCAGAAACAGGGCAGAAAATGAATAGATGTATATGAGATGACACATGTAGCCTACAGAACTGGTATAAATAATAAGAAATGTACTGATTGAACTAACAACCAAGTAAAGAGGCCTAGCAGTATATGTATCACATGATATACATACAAATATATTGATATTAAAAAGAAAAAGAAACAATTCAAATAGTCCACGTGATTGTTGAGTCCCAGAAGTAAACTAACAATTATGCAATTCAGTATTGAAACATCTAGGCACTGAAAAAGTGAAGCTAACAAAGAGTACATTGATTTCCATTAATTATTAGCTCTAACATTGCACATACAAAGAAACCCAAGGTGTGTCATATGTAATTTAGAAAGCTTTCAGAAGATTATTATTGGGAAATCTTCTCCCCCAAAAAGCATAAGGCAATAGTTATGTTGGGGCAAAGTTAAACATATGTAGAAAGATCTCATGGTGCATCCTTCAGCTACAGGTGAGGCCAGCTGTAAAACTGAAACTGCAGACTGTGTACCAAGGTAATGCACACAGGTTCAGATATCAATCTTGTCCCAACCATCAGACTTCACATAGTCCACTTGCATTTTTTATATTTTTGAATCTCTGACCTTAGGTTTCTATTTATTCATTGCCTTACTAATTATTCATAAGTGTTCAAGGTGGCGCGCGCGCGCACTCTCTCTCTCTCTCTCTCTCTCTCTCTCTCTCTCTCTCTCTGCTTCAAATTCTCATAACCTTTTCTGCCCTGGAGCAGAAAAGTATATTTAGACTGAAGGCAGTAAAAGCTTCTCAAAATTTTTTGTTTGTTTGTTTGTTCTATGTTCAATAATTTAACAGACAAAGTATTTCCAGCTCAACAGATTTGTAGATGAGGTACAATCAAAAATATAAAATATTCCAAATATTTTTAAACACTTTAGACAGCATGCTCTTGATGTTAGTGAAGGTTTGCATAATTTGCTGCAGGTAACTGCAACTAATAAGGGTGTTGCACTAGTGTACCTGATCACATGGCCAACTGTGCAACCAAGATGCACTCCAGCATCATCAATTAGCTGCAACTAGCTTCAGCAGCTTACACAAACTTTATGCAACCATCAAGAGGATTTGAGCCTTTAAAATAATTCAAAAATCTGAACAAAATACACTAAAAGATTAGAGAAAAAACATAGTTTCCAAATGCTGGCATAAATACCCAGGTTTTAACTTGCCACTAAAATTAAGACAGTATCAACACCAGTCAGGCCTCCAAGGGGAAGCCATTCCACAACCACGCTATGACAGCTGAGAAAGCATTCTCTTGCATCACAACATAATGTATAATTTTCAGTGACAAGGCAGAGTGTCCCCCAGCAGATACTGATGATCTGAAAAGAATAATAGGGAGATGCTCCCTCATATACAGCGGACCCTCGACGTACGCACAGCTCAATGTGCGTACTTTTTGAGGTACGGGCTTCTCCGGCTGCAAGATTTCCAACTGATTTGTGGCTGGA